AAAGGCAAGCATCTACCCAAAGAATTATAGGGAGAAGTTGTGTCGACTGTAACTTACATCTTGAATAGATGTCCGACAAAGAAGCTAAAAGGAATCACGCCAGAAGAATGTTGGTCTGGTGTCAAGCCTAGCCTAAGTCATTTGAAGGTGTTTGAATCTATATCATATAAACATGTGCCAGATCAGTTAAGAAGAAGGCTCGACGACAAGTCGAGTCAAATGATTCTGATAGAATCTCATTCAAATGGAGGACACAAGTTGTTCGACCCAGTGAACAAGCAAATAGTGATCAGCAGGTACGTGATCATAGATGAGCTTAAGGAATGGGATTGGAGTGAGAATGTCAAGAAGGATTCAGTGAGAATCTTATGTGAAAAACCAACTAGTGAAGTCGAAAGAGAAGTTCGACAAGAAGAATTCAGAGATAAAGCAGGCCCAAGCAGACCTCGAAGAACAAGACACATGTCTGCAAGGTTACAAGAATGTGTGATTACATCAGATGATGTGGTCGATGAAGAAGGTGAGTTTGTATACTATGATTTTTATGCAGATATTGAACCAGTCAATGCAGCTGAGGAGTTGAAAGATTCGAAGTGGATGAAAGTAATGAATGAGGAGTTAGAGTCTATCAAAGTTAACAACACCTGGTCACTTGTCGAATTGCCTCAAGGAAAGAAGGCAATTGATGTAAAATGGGTTTACAAGATGAAGGTGAATCCTAAAGGAGAAGTAACTCGACATAAGGAAAAACTTATGGCGAAAGGATTTTTTCAGAAGGAAGGAATCGACTTCGACGAAGTTTTTGCACTTGTTGCTAGGATCAAAACAATAAGGTTGGTTATTGGTCTAGAAAACATGAACAATTGGCACACATGTCACATGGATTTGAAATATGCATTCCTGAATGGCCCCTTAGATGGAGAAATTTATGTTGCACAAGCAGCTGGGTTTGTGAAACAAGGCGAAGAAAGAAAGGTGTACAAGTTGCATAAAGCCCTGTATGAACTTAAGTTAGCTCCAAGAGTTTGGAATAAGAAGAAAGAAAACTTTCTAAGGAAGAAGAAATTTGTGAAGTGCACAATTGTGCATGAAGTATATGTAAGGAGAAGCAATAATACATTGCTTATACTATGTCTCTATGTCGATGACCTGTTGATAACAGGAAGTCGTAAGAAGGAGATCAAAGATTTCAAACATGACCTAAGTGAGGAGTTTGAAATGTCATATTTGCTTGACATCGAATTCTACAGAAGTGGTAGAGGTCTGATGATGCACCAAAGAAGATATGCAGACGAAATACTAAAGAGATTTGAGATGCAGGATTGAAATCCCACTTTGACTCCAGCTGAGATCAGATTGCAACTGTTGAAGGATTCAGATGAAGATAATGTTGACCCAACCCAATATAGAAGACTTATTGGGCCACTTCAATACCTTTCTCGCATAAGGCTTAACTTAGCATACAATATGGGTATGGTAATTAGATTCATGTAGAAGACAAAAGTATCACACCTAGCAGCGATGGAGAGGATATTGAGGTATCTGAAAGGAACTCTCGACTACGGTATTTTGTTTCCTACAGTTGATGAAGGAAAAAATGAAAGATAGTGGAATACACTGATTCAAGTTGGTGTAGTGATGCTGAAGATAGAAAATCTACAACTGGCTATGTGTTTATGCTAGTTGGTGCACCAGTTGCTTGGAGTTCGAGAAAGGAGTCAGTAGTGGTATTGTCGTCATGCAAAGCAGAATTCATAGATGCTTATCTTTGTGCATATCAAGCAAAGTGGATTGTGAACCTCGTCAAAGATATTACAGTGAAGAATCATGGAGCAATTACCATGAAGATCGACAACATGTCAGCTATCAATTTGGCGAAGAATCCAATAGCACAGGTCGAAGCAAACACATTGAAATAAGGTTCCATTATCTTCTTGAGCAGGTAAAAAAAGGGAAGATGAACTTGGAACACTGCAGAACTGAGAATCAGATTGCAGATATCATGAAGAAGGGGGTGCAGGTTGAAGTTTTCAGAAGACTAAGAGCCATGATGAATATAGACAACTTAGACGCATGAATTAGGTGGTGTATTAAGTTTGAAATTCCTTATGCCAAAGTAGTGTAGCTCGACAGAAATAAGGACTAGTTGAATTAGCCTAATATGTGTGTGTGTGTGTGTGTGTGTGTGTGTGTGTGTGTGTGTGTGTGTCGAGTTGTATTAGTGTGTTGAAGTGTCAGAGCAAGTTTCTTCACACAGGATTTTGACTTAGGCCTATTTTAGTACTGTTAACTAATTTGGGCTTTTATAGTTTTAGGCTTTGCTTTAAGGTGCAAGCTAACCTAAATCTATAAATAAGGAGTAACCCTTGTTTTTTAAACAACTCATTACATTGTATTCACAGAATTTGCAATTGCAAGTGAATAAGAGAATTTCCACGGTTTGTGGGCATAGAGAAACTCTGCAGAATAGTCAGCTTCTTCTTCTTCTCCAACGTTATTTTATTTCTTTCTTTATCAAACTTTTTTATTGTCCATGCATGATTGATAATAATATTGTCCATCAAGATTGATTTAAATTCTCCATAGATTGTGGTTGAATTCCAACAACCATCGTCTCTGATGAATTCATTGTTTTCAAATGTTGCCACCATTTATAATGTTCATGTAAAGTGTTTTTTTTGGATGATTTTATTTTCCCCTATGACATCTCTACTGAAGATTTTTTAGAGCACACTAACTTGGTAATTATGTTGTATTTTGAAAAAGGAGCACTACTACTTAAAAGTCATTTCACCACGGTTGAAAAAGGTATACTATCATGGTTGACCAACCGTGGTGAACCACTGTAGTGAAATTCTAACGCTTAACATTTAACAACAGTTGTGCCAAACAACCGCTATGATATATACGCATGAGTTTACCATAAATTATGTGGAATACTTATTTTTCCGATGCTCAATAAACATATAACTTTTCAATATGCTCTAGAAATCAATAATATGACAAACTAAGTTATATTAGAAGAACAAGTTGCACTAATAAATGTTATACAAGATTTCTTCATCCAATTATCTATATTCTTTAACAATTATATTTTGTTTCAATGCTTCTAGTTCTTCAACCTCCTCTTCCTTCACCTCTAGTTAATTTTTGAAAATATTATCTAATTTGTAAAAAAAATTAGAGGTGTAGAAAGGAGCGGTTGAAGAAATATAAACATTAAATCAAGTTATACCCATTAAAGAGCGAAATGGGGACAATGGACTGAAGAAATCTTGTATAACATTGATAAGTGTAATTTGTTTTCTTATATAACTTAATATCTCATATTATATTTTTCTAATTCAATCCGAAAAGTTATATATTTAGTAAGGAGTTAGAAAAACACTCAAACCACATAAGATATAATAAACTCATCTTCTAAACAAATCTTAACAACAACATTAATTAACAACGAACCTTAAACAACATACACAATATAACAAAAACTTTTATTAACAACAACAAAATCATCAACAACATACCATAAACAACATACAACTTACAACTTTTATTACTAACAACAAACAACTTTTATTAACCACTATAACATATCAAATCATAAAATGTTTCACGAACGTACATATCCCAGAATGACATTCACAGTGAAATGAGGATGAAGTTGAACTGGTAGTTGCACACTTGTGTTAAATTAGACTGAATGTCATTTTGGATCTTTCACACAAGCTTGCAACGCTCACTTTAACTTCATCCTCATTATAGGTTTTCTTCATAACAACACAAATAATTTGTGAACCATACCTATAGTGTGAGATTTTTAGAGTTAATTTTTTTTATTCACCTTCCCTACCCACAAGTCAAAATGTATTAGTCTGACATATTATCTTACAAACAAGATGAAAGAAGCTATTGAAACATAAATAATGATACATCAACAATATAATTCACTTCTTATGTTATACATTCACTCATATTAAGTTGAGTTCTAAGCAGATTTAGAAACATAAGCTATTGAACCATGTAAGAACCTATATGATATATTGTGAAGGCTAACCAGTAACGTAACTATTTCCAAAGAATTGGTGGAGTTAAATCACATTCCTTAAGATTTGATGCAACAAAAGTAACTATTAGAAGAATACGAGTTCACTGCATGAGTTTGGTGTTTTTATTTGCATGTTTGTGAAGAAAAGTTGTCGAAACATTAATGGAGATTATAATATATGAGAGAGACGGGTGAGTAAGATCTTAGGCTTTTGTTTTAAGAGAATCGACTGTTATGCAGGAAAGAGAAATAAGAGTTAATTGCACATGTGTGCATTTTTCCCAACAAGATTTTGTAATATTTATCATTATCTAAACAGAGGTGAAATTAATTACTATGCACTATCAATATTTTTAGTATAAAAGATTTTATACTATCAATTTGTCGTCATCATCATCACCACCAGTTTAGATTATTTTATAAATGATTAAAATTAAAATTAAAATCTTTCTAACATTCAACATTTATGATTAACTTTTACACCGTTAATGCATTTTAATTAAACTCTAGATGAATCACATTAATTTATATGTTTAAAGAGAAAATTCAATTGAAATGCACTATATAGGGCCTTAGATGTTAGTAAGAGTTTGATATGATGATTGCATCCGTAAAACTTTTTATTTAGTAATTACTCTTAAAAAAAAGATATGTTATTTATTACTTTTTTTCGTTTCAAAATAATTTTTATAGTTGGTCATTTTCAATCCGTTAAAAAAATATAATAAATAAAAGAGAAAATAATATTTTTACATAATAATCCTTATTTATTATTGACATATTTGAATTATCCAAAAATTATTTTGGGATAGAGTATTAAAAAAATAATATAAATTCTCATAAATAAAAAAGATAATAGACGTGATATTTTGCTTTATCATTCTCTTCACCATATTGGCTAAATTATCTGTAACTGTGTTCAAAATCCGAGCTTGGTGAATCTGATTCTTTAGGAATGACAGAGAATTGGAATCAAACGGCTCTTCTCGTAATCGATATGCAGGTAGTTATTATGCTCTTTCTCTTTTCTTAGGATGTTTTTTTTGGAGAAATCAAGGATTCTGTATATGTTTTTGTTTGCAGAAAGATTTTATAGAAGATGGAAGTCCTATGCTAGTACAAGGAGGGAAAGATATTGTCCCAAATGTGATTAAGGCTGTTGAAGTTGCGAGAAAACGTGGAATTCTCGTTGTTTGGGTAATAACTCTTCTCTCCTTTCCTTTCTTTGAGATATGCTATGGGATGTTTATGCCTCTATGGGCTTTACCAAAGTATGTTCTCATCAATATTAATGGAACATGGAACCGTGTCTGAAATCATCACCAACACTTGTGATTACGTTTAGTTTTTTTTTTTTTTTTTTTAATTATTTCCAGTGTCTGGTGAATGTCGGTGCCATGTTTTCGATGGCTGTGTTTGTGTTTCGTAGCTCTGAAGTGAATATCTCACTATAGATTATAAAATGAGTATTGATACTTTAGATTGAAGACATGTACGGTGTCGAACGTGTGTGTCGGTGTGTTGTATGATGTGGCTTCATACAATCACTTCAATTTTCTCAAGTTTATTATCTAAGTGCGAGCGTTAGTGTTAGTATGTTGTGTCTAATATCTGTCTTTTATAGGTGCTATCGATCATTGATTATATATAGATCACTATAGAGTATAAAATGAGTATAATACTATGTAGCTCCGATGCTTCAGACTGAAGACATGTTTCGTGCCGGACATGGGTCCGAGCCTTGTGAGTTCTGGCTTCATACAATCAGTTCAATTTTCTCAAGGTTCGTACCAACGAGTGGGTGTGTTAGTGTTGTGTCTGGAATCTATCAATCATTGATTAACCAAGAATGTATATTATATGCAATGCATGACTTATCGTGAGTCAGTTGAAATATTAACTTTCAATTTCTCACTTTACTCTCCTCAATTTAGAAGAACCAAATCCAATGTTAATAGTATGATAGTTGTGGTGTGCGAGTATTCAACTTTCAAGAAGTCAAGAATTCTAAACAATTGAGATTTCTAAAGGAAGTTTGATTGTTCTCCCTTTTCTATCTTTGCTGTTTCATCGAAAATGCACGGATTGTCATTGGCTGCATCATTGACTCTGCAACAATATCAGGACATTATTGTAGTTTACTGGACCTCACCAGTTGCAGATATTAAACAAAATAGTTCTTCACTTTTTGAATTGTGACTATCTCAAATTGTTTTAGGTAGTACGCGAACACGATCCCTTGGGAAGAGATGTTGAACTCTTTCGCCGACATCGATATAGGACAGGAAAAGTTGGTCCGACCGCGAAAGGAAGTGAAGGTGCAGAATTAGTTGACGGGCTCGTCATTAGAGAAGGGGATTTTAAACTTGTGAAGACAAGGTTTAGTGCATTCTTTTCTACACATCTTCATTCAGTCCTTCAACGAGAAGGAATCAACAGTCTCGTGATCACCGGTGAGTAAACAGTCCAAATGCATAATACCAGCTTACAATTTTACGTTTGAGAAATGATTTTTTTACAACAACTCTCGTGCGAAAATTTTATAGGTGTTCAAACTCCAAACTGTATTCGGCAAACTGTTTTTGATGCTGTCGCGTTGGACTATCAACATGTGACTGTTCTTGTTGACGCCACAGCGGCAGCCACACCCGATATTCATCTTGGTATGTATTATAGATTTATTGAAAGTCTTGCAATTTTCCGGATCTTTCTTTAGATTCTAACGATGAGCGATATTTTGGATGGTTTCAGCCAATGTGTATGACATGAAAAACATTGGAGTTGCAACACCAACATTACAAGAATGGAGCGAAATAAAAGCTTGATATGCAGGGACCATGCATTATGCAACATTTTGCACCATGTGGTATTCAGTTTCAAGATTCAAAGACATTGATATCTTATGGTATCAATAACTTATTGTTCACTAGCACTCTTTCATGGTCCACCTAAAAAAACATCAATAATGTCTATCACAGTACTTCTTCTTTTGTAAAAAGAGGGACCTTTGTGTTTTAATGCATTACTTTACTTGTTATTTTTGTTAACAAGCAGATCTGTTAGCAATTGCTTTTTCTTTTTAAAAAACCAGAAAACAATACACAAATTGCAGGCAAACACAAATTACACTGTTGCACCAACAACCACATATACAAAGAAAGTTAAATCAACTGGTAAGCTAGATCACTGCCACCTCCTGATATAAACTAGTCATCATTTTGCAAACAAGCAACACAGCAGATTTGAGATTCAATAAACTCCAACGCACTGCTGATTTGTTCTATCTGTGCCACATCAACCACCGTCGCGCCGCTGTTCTCTATGCGTCGTCGTAACAACCATCGTGCAACCCTCCGCGCTGCCACAATCGCAGTAGTCCCTGTATCCTTCGTCCGTGTTTTCCCCCTACACGCGATGTATGAGTCCAACAGTAACGACACCAGACAAACCCCCTTTGTCAATCACATTTCCAGCACGTCCAAGACACCTCTTTCCTCATCGGCAGTTTCCAAAATGGATTTTCATCTCGCTCCCAACGCCCCTTCATCTTGGTCTTCTTCTTCTTAGTAGTGGTACTAGCAACAATAATAACACTCAGCCTGACAACTAAGGGGTTGGGCTCCGTCACCAAGGACTATGCCTCAATGCCCGTATCTCACATATAAGTTGACATGTCCCACCGATCCTCCGAAGCATCCAGGCATCCTAGGATAGCTTCCTCAGGTGTATGCAGCTACTACATCTTAGACACCAACTGATATGCATACAATGTTTCTCTACATTCCTGACAATTAGTGGAACATGCATGTTGGTGCAACATCTCACACTGCAGCATTACAAGTTAATCTCTCATCTTATTCTACTTTTAAGTAACTCAAATCAAAAAGATATTGTTGGCAGTGGCCATGGAATTCCAATTCACCGCGTCAGACACACAAATACGCACCTCTCACCAACTCATCGTTTAAACCATGTCCTGCATACCCGTAAATTATTAAAAATTCAATTTTTATGCAACAGACTTACCACTGACAATAATGTCTCTGTTTCTTGACCCTTTTGGTTTTACTATTATTTGATTTTCAGATGGGAATCTCTTTCATGAGATTTGACACATGTGGCGATCTCTCTCTAATCATCACTTCCACCAATTTTACCAATCTTACTTCCAATCTCTAACACAATCGCTTGAGTCACCCTGTCATTTTATCTTTTGCATTCCCTTCGCAATAATAAGTTCATATATTGTGAACCTTTTAAATCTCGTGTTTTTGATAAACATGTTACATTGCCATTTTTTTTATTCTCAAACTATAACTTTGATGCCTTTTGATATTTTACATGGTGATTTATCGATGTCTCTGATTTTAAGTTTCGTCGGTGATAAATATTTTATATTTTTTGTTATAATTTCACAAAATTTTCATGGACCTTTCCTATTAGCAAAAAATCCCAAGTATTTTAAACGTTTACGTCACTTATAAAACCTTATTTAGCAAAAAATCCCAAGTATTTTAAACGTTTACGTCACTTATAAAACCTTACTCGCACACAATTTTTGCAAAATTTAATGTTTTCAATGTGACAATGACCGTGAATATAATAATGAGTTATTTCGCAAATATTGCATTGACCATGGCCTTATTTTCATTTCTCTTGTCCCCACACATTCTCACAAAATGGGAAAGTGGAACGCAAAATCAGAATCATTAATAATATGATAGGCACTATGTTGGCCCATTCTTCTGTTCCCACATCTATTTGGCATTATGCTTTTCAAATGACAACTTATCTTTTAAACATTCTTCTCTATAAAACAGTTAAAAATCAGTTACTAACACAACTCTTATATCACCGAGATCCCACATACACACATCTACGAGATTTCAGTTATCTGTGTCATCCTTTATTTTTGTCCTTGAACATTCATAAGTTACAATCCCGCTCCACTCCATGTGTCTTCTTAGGTTATCCGTTGAATCTTAGAGGTTACAAGTGATTTGATTTGTCAAGAAAAAAAATTAATAATTTTGCAACATGTTATCTTTGATGAAGCCCAATTTCTCTTCGCTAAGATACATTCCCCTTCCCTTCACTCTTATGACTTCTTAAATGATGAGCCACACCAATACCATGTACAATTGTGGCAAACTCAAATGTTAACAGTTATTGCAAATAACTAAACAACATTGTCAAGTACAACCCATCAGCCACCCTCGCCAATAAACCAATAACCACTCTCTAATCCCTTCCTGACCAACTCAATAATTATGACCTCCTCTCCCTCACAACCACCAATCTAACCAATTTCACCTCCACCTACACGGACAATCACCACCTATAGCATGAAAGGCATTGTCAAACCCCATAAGATATTTATATATCAATTTCTATACCTGACCATACCATCTCTCCCATGCCTAAAAATCCTAAGCTATCTTTATATGACCCGAATTGGAAATCTATATTGCAATTAGAATTTGATGCTCTTATTAGAAATAAGACGTGTGATTTAGTTCCTCGACCTTATGATAATAATATTATTCAATATATGTGGGTTTTTAGTAGGGATGGCAACGGGGCGGGGCGGAGGCAGATTTAACTATATCTGCACCCGCACCCGCCTCCATGTAACACACTCGCCCCCACCCCCAAACTCAATCGGAGATAAAAATTTACCACCCAGACTCATCCTCAGTAGAGAACAGGTGCACCCGCGCCTGCCCCGCCCCCACTCGCAATTTTTTTTTAATTACAATAAAAATTAATTATTTTAATAAATAAATTAATTATTTAATTAAAATTTTAATTAGTAAAAAAATATTAACTTGATTATTTTAATTGCACCTTTTATTTGGTGCTCCTTAATGTCATCTTCCGCCATTCGCGCCTCTTCCTCGTGAGTTTTTTCCTCTGTCTCTGCCTCTTCCAAACCTATCACCTCTAGAAGACTCACCTCTATTTTGTATTGGGGGCTTATTTTCATAATTATTGGACTGAATGTTGAGTTTAGATTGAAAGACACTCTCAACTGATTTTTTAGAGTGTCGTAACAAGCTTTGCTCGTAAGATCTCAAAGACCCCATCAACCCTTGAACATACTATGTTGATAGGTCCTTAGTTTCTTCTATAACAACCACCATATAATCAATTTTTTCGGTCAAACTAATCATAATTTTATCAACAATTTTGCGATCATCTATTATATCTCCATGTGACTTCATTTGATTCCCCAACTCAGAGAGTCTATTAAACTATTCATTCAAACTCTCACTCTCTTTCATTCTTTCATTTTCATAATCTCTCCACGTGCTCCCCTCCGCGGAGACACGTCACCGACCAACTGCCCACCTCCGAAAGAGCAGGTCAAACCCACTTTCCGGAGATCACGGGACAGTTGGACTAGGGCAAAGACCACATTCTGGTCTTCACTACGCCACGTAAGCCCTAGCAGTCACCTGGGTTGGGTCTGGCAATCCAGCCCAACGCAAGTGACCGTTACCCCAGCGCTGAGGTCTCTCTATAAATACCCTCTTCCACAAGAGGGTCAGGTAATTCAATTCTTGTCCACTTTCTGTATTTGCTCTCACTCTTCCCAATCTCTTACTTTGGCATCAGAGTGTTTTGCAGGTACACCCCCCACCTTTTTCTCAACACCGTTACACAGGCAGCAGTCCAGCAGAGTGTGGCCAGCCAGAGATCCCCTTCTGATCCGGTCAGATCAATCTCTCTTAAGAGATTCAAGTTTCACAGTTCTCACCTTTGAGTCTCCTTCAAACTCTTATTGTAGAATATTTCATGCTTCTTTTGATATTTTTGCTCTCATAATCCTTGGAAAAATGGATACGTAGACTCCTCTTTGAATCATCCCGAGAACTCCAGCATCTGTGATCTTTTTCTTCTTCAATTCTTCAAGTCGTTGGCTTGATTCTTCAGCATTTTCTTTTGATTCTCCAGCCTCTGTTGGTGATGGTTCTTCATACCCGTTTTGGATGAACTCTAAGACATTCAACGAGGTGAATAAAGTCTCAATTTTAACAGCCCAAAAATCATAATTCTCTCCTTCAAACAAATGAACTTTAACATTGCTATAAGTTGTGGAAGAGTTGCTTGTGAAATCCATATTTTTTTGTTGCCGCTGCAAGGATCTACAACTCTGATACCACATTGTTGGTGGTATTCTAGAGGTGGTATGTGATAAAATATACTATTGCAGAATTTAGAGTAAGTAAATATTTTTCGGTCACTTTTTTCACTGAACATCCACTGGTGGAAGTTATACTTTAAAATACTCTAATTTTATTGAATTCACCACACTTTTTTTCTCTCTTTTTTCTTGCTTACAACTTAGCATTACAAAGTCTTTATATAGGTTTGAAGGAAACTGATAGAGAATACAATAAATTGATAATAAAGATGAGGGTTGTTTGGCTCTCTCAATCTTAATGATACAACTCTATCATAAATTTAAGTAAAGACAATAATTATAATTTAGTGATTACAATTTTCTCATAATACTTATTAAAGATAATGGTGGTTACACCACATTAATTTTAACAATATTTATCACAAGTACAAAATATATAGAACTCCTAAAAAAATCTAAAATGATATTTCAAAATAGACATTACTCTTTATATTTTTTATTAAAAATTATTTTAATCATTTCATAAATATTAAGAAATATAATTATTATTATACGAAAAAAGATAAATTATAAAGGACTTTATAAAATTATACATCATTAATAATTTAATAGTAAGAAGAAGATACTTTGAAAAAATAATAAATAATTAAGAATATATTTTGAAAAAATAATTATTTATTTATTCATATTACAAAATAACTTATAATTTTATGCAAATATTTTTAATATGATGTATAATAAAAAACGAGAAAAAAAATTAAATTTTTAGACATTCCACATATGAGAAATTAAGAAGAAGAAAATCTCATTCATTTGAGGCATAAAATGAGCCACGTCCAAATGGTAAGAAACCAATGTACCAAGGTACATCAATGTCACTTGACATTTTAACCACTAAACAATTACTGTCATGTATTTTGTCGCAAAAGATTCCTATTTAACGTATCCGTACTACCTAGTGGGACCGTACGTGCGTACCTTTGTCTATTTGAAGCGCATATTAAATGACCCAATTGGCTAAAATCTTTGTAACTGCATTCAAAATCCAAGCTTAGTAAAGCTAACTCTTTAGGAATGACAGAGACTTGGAATCACGCAGCTCTACTTGTAATTGGCATGCAGGTAAGTAGTTATCATGATATGTCTCTTTAGTCTTTCCTTAGGATTTTTTTGGAGAAACTAAGGATTAACCTATAGAGCTTGGTTTGTTTGCAGAAAGATTTTATTGATGAAGAGAGTCCTGTAAGAATAGAAGGAGGGAAAGACATTGTTCCAAACGTGATTAAGGCTGTGGAAGTTGCTAGACAGCGTGGAATTCTCATTGTTTGGGTAATATCTCTTCACTCCTTAGTCCTTACTTGAGTATGTTTATAATGTCTGATGTCTGATATGTGTCGATGTCTCTCTCAAATTTTTCAGGTAGCACGGGAACACGATCCCTTAGGAAAAGATGTTGAACTCTTTCGCCGACATCGATATACTGCAGGGAAAGTTGGTCCTGCCTCTGTAGGAAGCAAAGGTGCTGAGTTAGTTGATGGACTAGTCTTTAGAGAAGGAGATTATAAACTTGTGAGGACAAGGTTTAGTGCATTCTTTGCTACACACCTTCATTCAGTTCTTCAAGGAGCAGGGATCAATACATTGGTAGTCACTGGTGAGTAAACAATTCAAATTATAGCTTATTTCTATAAGTGCTTAGTTAAGTTGTTTATCGAAACAATATATAACTTTACTTTTAGGTGTTCAAACTCCAAACTGTATACGGCAAACTGTGTTTGATGCTGTAGCATTGGACTATCAACACGTGACTGTTCTTGTTGACGCTACTGCAGCAGCCACACCTGATATTCATCGCAGTATGTATTATCGATTTCTTGAAAGTCTTGCAATTTTCTGGATCTTTCTTTAGATTCTAACGATGTGCGATTTTTTGGATGGTTTCAGCCAATGTGTATGACATAAAAAACATTGGAGTTGCAACACCGACATTACAAGAATGGAGCGAAATAAAAGCTTGATCTATATGGACCATGCATTGTGCAACTTTTTGGACCATGTGTTTGCTCATTTTCAAGATTCAAAGGGGTTGATATCTTCTGGATAGCTATTAAACTTGAAAATGAAATAAAACTATGTATGCTAAGCCATAGTTTGTTTTTGGTTTACTCTTTTTAAATTAGTTTGTTATAATAAGACCTATTCTTAAGGAGTTGGATATTCTTACTCAGCCACTATGTTGTAGGCTTAAAACATGTCTTGTTTGCGTTTTTTCTTAAAACATGTTGTTTGTGTTTTTCCCTTAAATAGTTGTTGCTTTGTTGAATTCAATGATACATTTCCTTTCTCAATCGGTTCTAAGCTTTATACATTTTGTTCCTACATTTGGTAAAGGGGCCTGATTAAACTAGTAGTGTAAGAGTGAGTGATGTATGACTTTGATGGGCATTACAAAAAATTTGTCAGTTTTTGTTAGAAATAATTTATATTTTATAAATTTGGTGATCAAGTTTGATAGAGGGTATTTTAATATTTTATTATGTTGTCTATGTGATCTTAGTTATCTGTGTACAAATAGATTAGTGATAGATGTTACTTTTAAGTAATTATTCCTTGTAACTTTGTAGTTGTCATTTATAGAATATAAATATATTCTCTCATTCTATTTATCTCTCTTAACCTTGTGCACCAACAATTGGTATCTAGAGCTCCGGTTCGGATCCACGGGGAAACACGGGAAACACGAGTGAAACGGTGAGGCGTTGTGTGGTTGATTTTGTTTCTTGAATTCCTGTTGAATCTTGAACAAAATCGTAACATAATCACATTTTATGATTCTGCAAAATTGGGAAACATTGTGTTTGGTGACATCTGAGTGATTGCACAAGGTTGAAGATGAACGGAAACGGTGGTCTGAGCACCAAGCTTCCAGTGTTTGATGAAAAAACTAGACTCGTTGGATGATTCAGATGCGCGTACTGTTCGATACTCAAGATGTGCTTGATCTTATCACTGAAGGTTACGTTCTAGTAGCAACAAATGCAACAGAGGAACAAAAGAACGCGCAGAAAGATACGAGGAAGAAAGATCAGAAAACATTGTTCTACATCCATCAGTGTGTGGATGCAAATGTGTTTAAGAAAATTGTTGATTCAATGACAGCGAAGGCTATGTGGGATACACTAGTCAGGTGTTATGGTGGTGACGCATCAGTGAAGAAGGTGAAGATTCAGTCTCTGCGAAAGCAGTATGAAAATCTCAACATGAAGAACAATGAGAAAGTATCTAAGCCTATCTCCAGAGTGATTCTGATCACTAATGAGATGAAAACTTGTAGAAAAACTCTTTTTGAACAAGTAATCATTGAGAAGGTATTGAGATCGCATACCCCTTAGTTTGATTACATGGTGGTAGTAATAGAACATTCTAAAGATCTAAGCACCATGAGAATTGAAGAGTTGCAAACTAGTCAAGAGGCATAAGAGTTGCGTCTGACTAAGAGAACTTCTGAAAGGGAAGTAGAGCAGCAGGCTCTGAAAACAGTTTCTGGTAAGAACCATTAGAAACAGTCTTGGTCAAAAGTCAGGAGAAGATCTGATGATGTTCGGAAGTCAGAAACCTCAACTTCTGATAAGCAGAAGAATGCTTAGAAGGAAAAAGAGAAGTATGACAAGAAGAAAATCTAGTGTTACTGTTATAAGAAGTTTGGCTATTTTGCTGCTGATTATTGGTCAAACAAGGAAAGGAAGTCAGAAGAAGCAAATATAGCCAGAAGTTCTGATGATGGATCTGTGCTATTGATGGCTTTTGAATCTGATGATACGGATTTGACAGACTGGTGGTATATGGACACTGGCTGTTCAAATCATCTTACTAGAAATAAGAAATGGATGGTTGACTTTGACTCTGGTAAGAGGATAAAGATCAGGTGTGCTTATGATAAATACCTCAACGCTGAAGGTATGGGAAATGTCAGAGTCATTATGAATAATGGGAAAACAGAACTGATTCAGAAAGTGTGGTATGTACTTGGCATGAAAAGCAATCTGATGAGTGTGAGGCAACTAATTGAAAAAGGTTTTTCAGTTACCATGAATGAAAATCTTATGAAGTTGTATGACTGTAATCAGAAGTTGATTATAGAGTCAGAACATGGAAGGAATAGAACATTCAAGGTGAATGTAAGAACTGCAGACTCTGAATGTCTTAGTGCAACAATTATTGTGAAGGAAAGTGAGTTGTGGCACAAAAGATTTGGTCATCTGAATTTCAGAAGCTTAAGGCATCTGAATTTGAAGAAGTCGGCACATGGAATCACTATAATTAAGAAGCCTAAGAACTCATGTAAAGTGTGCACGGAAGGAAAGCAACCAAGAATTCCATTTGTGCCAGAAGTAGCTCCAAGAGAAAAACATGCCTTAGGAGTAGTGCATTCTGATGTGTGTGGTCCATTTTCAATAGCATCGATCGGACGAAATAAATACTCTGTGTCATTTGTTGATGAATTCACAAGAATGACATGTGTATCCCTTATAAAGTTCAAACACGAGGTGTTTGCTGAATTCAATAAGTTCAAAATGAAGGATGAGAATCAGGGCGGTCAGACTCTGAAGATTCTCATAACTGATGGTGGAGGTGAGTATAACTCCACTGAATTCAGAAAGTTTTGTAAGGAGAATGAAATTGAGAATGAGGTTACTTCTCCTTATACTCCTCAACATAATGGTCTTGCTGAGAGAATAAATTGTACTTTGCTTGATATGACGAGAAGCATGCTGAAAGAGAAGAAGCTTCCTCACAACTTCTAGGGAGAAACTGTTGCCACCGTAGCATATGTGCTCAACAGATGTCCAATGAATAAGCTGAAGGAAATAATTCCTATTCAAAAATGGACTGGAGATAAGCAAAGTGTTAGCCATCTAAAGGTATTTGGTTCTATATGTTACAAACATGTTCTAGAAGCCAGAAGACAGAAGATGGATGGTAGAAGCAAAGTAAAATTACTAGTGAGATACCACAGTACAAGTGCGTATAAGCTCTATTATCCAAAACCTAATAAAGTTGAATTCAGCAGAGACGTTATTGTAAATGAATCAGAAACTTGGGATTGAAACAAGTCTCAATCTAACTCGGATGTGATAACTTATGAAGAAAGTTTAGAATTAGAAGTTTTTGAAGATGAGTTAGAAATTGGAGAATATTACGAAGTTAGAGTGGACACTGATGGTGATTCTGACTCTGAAGGAGACTTAGAAGGTGAAGATGATTCTGATTCAGATTATAGGAATATTCCAAACTCAGAAGATGGTCAAGGTTCTGGAGGAGGTCAAACTTATGAAGCAAGAGCTTCTGAAGGAGAAGCTTCTGAAGATAGAAAATTTGGAGTTCAAGCATCCGAATGAGATTCTGAACGAGGTCAGAGGCCACAGAGAATCAGAAACATTCCGAGAAGATTTACAGAGTTTGACATGCTATAAGACATTGAAGTAGATTCTAAAGGAGAAGTTATTCAGTGTGCCATGTTAGTAGACTCTGAACCCGTAAGCATGGAAGAGGCTCTTGAGCAGAAAGTCTGGCTGAAGGCTATGAAAGAAGAACTTGATGCCATAGAGAGGAACAAGACTTGGAAGCTGATAAAACTTCCAAAGGACAAGAAAGCCATCAGCGTCAGATGGGTTTTCAAACAGAAGCTAAAGCCAGATGGATCAATTGGAAAACACAAAGCGAGGTTAGTAGCAAGAGGATTTCTGCAAAAACCTGGGCTGAATTATTCTGAAGTGTTTGCGTCTGTAGCGAGACATGAAACAATCAGACTGGTGATTACAGTAGCTGCTAACAGGAATTGGCCTCTGATGCATTTAGATGTGAAATCTGCATTTCTAAATGCTCTATTACAAGAAGAGGTATACGTGTCACAACCTCCTGGATTTGTTAAAAGGATTCAGGAAGGGATGGTGTACATATTACATAAAGCTTTGTATGGATTGAAGCAAGCGCCCTGAGCCTGGAATCTAGAGATTGGTTCATTTTTCAAGGAGCAGGGGTTTCAGAAATGTGAGATGGACTACGGTGTTTATGTTCAGCATACTTCTGAAGGCAATATGATTCGGGTTTGTTTGTATGTTGATGACATGCTGCTGACAGGGACTTCTGAACAAGAGATAGCTAAGTTTAAGAAGGTGCTAATGAATGAATTTTAAATGACTGATCTCGGGAAAATGACATATTTTCTAGGATTGAATTTTATATACTCTGAGAAAGGTATCATTTTGCATCAGCTGAAGTATGAACTTGAGCATCTGAAGAGATTTAAGTTGCAGAGTTGTAAGGCTGCTATCACACCTGCAGATACAAATCAGAAACTGGATTCTGATTTTGATGGTGAGGATGTGGATGCTACAACATTCAAACAGTTGGTTAGTTCTTTGGGGTATCTGTGTAATACCATACCTGATATCTGATATGCAGTTGGATTGGTTAGTAGGTTCATGAGTAAACCTAAGTGGTCCCATTACCAAGTTGTTGTCAGAATTCTGAGGTATATCAAGGGAACTCTGAAGTATGGAGTGCTATTCCCTTATGAAAGAAAGATTGAATCATAACTTCTGAGTTATTCAGATTCTGATTGGTATGGAGACAGAGTTGACAGAAAAAGTACTTTTGCGTACTTGTTTTAAATTTTTGGGAGGTCCTATTTTTTGGTGTTCCAAGAAATAACCTATTGTTGTGTTGTTAACTTGTGAAGCTGAATATATCGCAGTTGTTGTGACTGCATATCAAGTTGTGTGGACTCTGAACTTACTGCAAGATCTGAAGATCAAAGTTAACAAGCCTCTGAAGCTGATGATTGATAACAAGTTGCAATCAATCTTGCCACAAACCCAGTGTTGCATGGGAAAATCAAGCATATTGAGACTAAGTATCATTTTTTGAGAAATCAGGTTCAAAATAGAGTGCTAGAAGTTGTACACTGTAGCACCCAGAAGCATATTGAGACGAAGGCTATCAAGACTGATCAATT